ATTCCTGCAGCTTTTTCAGCTTCTCCTGGTAAAGATGCCAGGAAATATTCCCAAGAATTGCTAGGGGCAAAATTCAATTGCATTGCAGGAAAAAATGCCAGCGGGGCACACATGAGTGTACATGTGTGTGTCCACAGCAGTACAGAGGACCAAGTTTCCCCACGCGCTCACACCCTCACCCAGCTCCCACCCATGGGTACACGCAGGGTTCCCAGTGCACGAGGTTGCCTATGCAGTGGAGCCACATCTGTAACAGCTGAGCGGGTTCAGGGGTTCCCCAGCTCACCCCGCTAATTGCCAACACCAATGGCACTGGAGCACTGGCATAGGATGCTCTGGGGGTTTCTGTGCCAAGTACTCCATGTATTGCCAATTGCTGGGGACTTCTGCTTCACATCAGGCTTTTCTCTCCCTCCTCCACTCTCATGTTCTTGTTTCACACTGGCCTCACACCAAAGGATGCTGAAGCCATGGCTAATGGGCTCCATCGCTGCTCTTCTGGAGCAGGAGACAAACCAAGGGCTGGGAGTTGCTTTGTCCCAGCACAGGGTCCCTGCTCACTTACGATGGCCTTTTCCTGTCTCTTCTCCAGCTGGCCCCGGTGCCCACTCCTGCCCTGGCACTGCTCGCCGTTCTCACACCTGGGAAGCGAGGGAGAGGGGATCAGTCAGGGGGATCTGGTGGGGAAAGCGTTAAATGTCAAAGAGAAACTGAGACACACAGTGTCTGCAGCAGCAGGTGGGTGGGTGCTCCAGAGCACCCACAGCCGAAGAGAGATGGGGAAAGGACACTGGAAAGTCCTTTCTGACAGATGCCAGTGGGTCCCCAGCCAGCTCTCGCCTCTATCCAAGCACGGCTTCAGCCTCTGGCCATGCCCAGTTACTCCAAGTGTCATGGAAACCCCCAACTGCTTCACCCTGGTGCTGCTTTCTCTGGCCATGGCTGATGATTGCAGCAGCTGCTGATGTACCATTATTTCAATGTGTGTTTTTTTCATTATTAGCATCTTTATTACTTGGGCTAGCAGGCCAGATAGAGCTGGAGCTGCCATGCACTGGGGCAAAAATGCAGGGAGCAAGAATGGCCCCAAGTGCCCTTCCCACAGGCCCCTGTACCTGAAGGTGCGTCTGCTTGCGGGCGATCGGGACCGGCAGCATGAAGACCCCGAGCTGGACCTGCTCCGGGAACAGTAATGCAAACTGGTCCTGGAAAGGGGGTTTCTCCTCAGACACAGCTTGGTGTTGCCAGGCTCTTTCTCCTCCTCCTCTTCCTCCTCCTCCTCCTCTTCCACCAGGGAGCCACTCTCACTGCAGCTGTCTTCAAAGACAGTGTCATACTCAGGGGTCTTGCAGAAGACCATGTCCTCATCGTCAAGAGCACTGTCCAGAAAGCCAAAGTGCTTTGTTAAGCTGGCTCTGATCTCCTGGTCTCTCAGCTGCTTGATGCCATCCTTCCACAGCATCTCGCCGCCTGCCTCCTTGCCACCGAGGTCCAGCCCCTGGTAGTGGGCGGCTGGGACCCTCCTCTTGTGCTCCGTCTCCACCTGGCCAGGGGGCTCCCACGACTTAAGCACCTTCCTCTGCAGGGTGGCCTCCGGCTTCAGCACCTGGCAGTAGTCATGGTCCCCGAAGGAGCGGGAGAAGGGCCGCTTGAGCACGCTTTGCTGCTCGGGGAGTGCGGGGCGCCTGGCGGCTCGGCTCAGGTGGGCGAAGAGCTCTGTCCTCTCAGGGTGCTTCCTGGGGGCTTTCTGGGAGGCTGCCATGTCCCCTGTGCCCCCGGGGCTGCGGGCTGTCCCATCCTCCTTCCCTGGCTCCTGGGGGATGTCTGGCTTGTACAGGTCCTCCTCAGCAGGCTTGTATGGTGGGGTGGTGGGTGGCGTGAGACCTGAACCCCCCCCGAAAAAATGGCAGGAGTCAGCTCTGCCCTCACCATCCTGCTCCGTCCCACCCTGACCCCTGAGGCCCCCAAAGCCTCAGCCATCCAGCAGTACTTGGGGAAAAAAGGGTGCCTGATCCCAGAAAGAACCAGAGGACTCTCCCTTCCCTCCTGGCTAATGCCCTGAACTGCCCCTCCCATCCCAAATGTGTCCCACCCCGCAGCATTGGCATCTCTGAAGAATGCAACTTGCGACCTGCTGGCAGTGCTCAGGTGTAGAGGCGAGGCAGCATATGGGATGTCCCCTGTATTTGCAGTGCAAAGGGAGACTCCCGGGCTGGGGAATGAACGTGCCTGCTCAGCTGGAGCCAGTAACTCCAGGCTGGATTTGGGGTAAATTTGCGCCCTCCCAAGGAGGACTTTTCAAAAATTAAAAAATTAAAAGCCTATCCTACCTGCTGTCCCACATAGCTCCACGGTCAGCATTGGCTCAAAGTTTCTCTTTCCAAAGGTTGGGTCACTGGAGAAGAGGAGAAAATAAAGAGAGAGAAGGTGTTTAGGTGAACCACAGTCCAAAAAAACCCAAAAGGATGCTGAGAAAATGCTGCCTACAAGCGAGCCCTCCCACCATGGCTACCGCCTGACGGCGTGACCCCACGGGGGGCTGCGAGGGGCAGTGGGGCGAGCAGTGTGCCCTCCCCATCCCAGCCAGAGCTCTGGGGCACAGTGCCCCGGCACACAGAAATGCCCTGCCCTCAGCCTGGGGCTTTTCGAGCTTCTTGCACCCGAGCGATGGCCATGGCTCCCCACAGCAGCACAGCTAGGTCTGCTCTGCAAAAGCGAGTTGGCTTGGTCACTGCAGATGCATGCTCAGCCAGACAGACCGAGGCGGTTTTCCAGCCCCAGCACAGTTCATTTAGCCCCGTGCGCACTTACGTTTGTGCCAAAGACAGCGTGAGACACCGGGGTGTTTCTGAAAGGCAGGGAGAGAAGCAGGGTTACCAGCAGAGCGCTCACAAAGCGCTTGAGGATGGATAGCTGCGATTTTGGGGCACCGGGGCAGCTGAACCCCAGTGCCCAGGCACAGGGTAAGCCTGCAGGGAAGAAGGACCAGGAGGGATGGGGCAGCCTGGTCCCTGCTGGGTTAGCACTACACTGACTCCTTCATCTGGTTATAAGGATGGGAAAACTAAGGCAGAAAGCCCCAATGGATTGAAACAGTACCCCAAAACAAGAACAGGGCCCCAACTCCCCATGCATGGGACCCCACAGCCAGCCAGCACATGGGTCAGGGCTTGGCTGTGCTTGAGGCTGCTCACAGCATCAATGCCAACTGAGTGCCAGGTGGACGGCCAGCAGCACTCACCCCCAGCAGGGACAGCAACGGGGAGGGGTGAGCAGAGTGGCAGCCTCTGGCCCTCCTCACCTGCTTGCTCCAGGAGGACACAGCGTCGGCTCTCAGCCCCATCGCCCACCTCGCCATCGCCTGGGGAGCCCAAGGAGAGGGGCTCTGACGCCGGTGCTGAGCTCCCGCCATCTCCCTCCTCCGTGCCCCCCACCTCCACTTCAGCTGCTGGCTCTTCAGCGGAGAAGCCATCCAGCACCGGACACGACGTGGGCTCCCTGCACGCCAGAGCGTCCCGGGGGCAACAGCTGTCCCCTGCCTCCCGGGTGACAGAGGGCTCGGGGGTCAGCTCATCAAGGAAGGAGAGCCAGTGGCCGAGCTCAGGGTTGAGTCTCTTGGAGCGCCGGACTGCGTAAATGGTGGTCTCCTGCTTGCGGGCCACCTTCCCTATGGCTGAGCCCAGGGCACCCGCACGCTTCCCAGCATCATCCTCAAGGCCACCTGGCTCCTGCGGTGCCTCTGCCTCGGCCCCGGGCCTCTGCCACTGCTCACCCTTCTCCAGCACCATTTTGGCTCTGGATGTGCAGGTCCCACTGGTGTCCTCCCCGTCCTGGGCCAGTGGCACAGGGGAGCAGGAGCCGGGTGGCTGGGCCAGGGCAGCATACACAGGCTTGCCCAGGTGGTATGGCTTGCTCACGTCGCACAGCAGATCCCGCGCCAGCAGCTCCTTCAGGATGGAGAAGGATGCTCTGGGCTTCTTGCAGCCCCCAGCTGCCTGCCATGCACAGCCCGGCCGGCTCTGGGCACTGCCGGAGGGTGCCGGCTGAGCAGGGGAGTCCGGTTTGGCTCTCTTGAAGGGGCTGCTGCAGTGTTGGGGCTTGGCGTCAGTGGCATCGCGGGCGGGCAGCTTCCGTGGCGGCAGGCAGTAGGTGTGCATGTAGCGGATGAGCTCCACCACCGAGTGCATCTCCCCCTCACAGGAGAACTGGATGCTGGAGCCATCCTCTGCCGAAGAGGGGGGGGTCACCGAGTCGCCAGCGCT